GGGGGGGGGGGTGAACGAGCTCAACAAGTCAACAAAAGTCGAGCGAGAAAAAAAAAAATGCAGCCCTCCAGTCCGTTCGAATGGGTGCCAAGGAGGACAAGATGAAGCGTTTGCAACGGATAATCATCAACCACGCGCAGGCACGCAGCAAGTCTAATAGGACGTACCTATTTCTCATAAACTTCGCAGCTCACGAATCTCCATGTAAACTGGAGGGAGGAGGAGCACGTCTATTCGTGACTGCAAACCACCACCACAGCCGCAACAAAGCAACCACCAGCAACACACAACTCCTTGGAGACAACGGCAGCAGCGGTCACAACATCAACACCAGTCCAAAGCTTCCAACACCAACACACCGCTGCAGACGTGTCCATGGCGGAGGTCCACAGCGACCACTCCACACGGTCGTCGGGGGCAGGCAGGGACCAGGTCATCTCGGCCTGGACGCTCTGACCACCCTCCAGTCGGTTCTTGATAAGAGTCGCGTCCATCTTTTTCATGAGGAAGCTTCATGCGCAACGATCGGGCGGGGTTTGCAACCAACACTCAGTGCCAGCGAAGGCAAGGGAGGTTTGAACACAATCATGTATTGAGTACCACATGAAAACCTTGGTCAGAAAGGTGGTCGCCTTAGACATGACGCAGGTGCCTGAGGCGCATTCACGTCGAGTCGTAGTACCGCCGCTATTGCTACCCCTCTCCTTTAGAACAACGAATTCATTCGACATCTGTTGCGTGCGCTTCGGTATTGGCCCAACGCGGATCTCCAACGTTGGACAACACCGCTCTCCGCATGCGCAGCACAGTACAAGGATCGTGCTTACTGCGTACCCACGGCCAACGTCCGCATCGCTCGCGAGCTAGCCTACGCACACCGTCGTGCAAAATCTTGCATTCTTCGCCTTTCCTTTGTTGGTGGTCATACACAAACAAATCAAGCCTCCAACGCGTAACCACCCACCCAGCCGGCGGCTCACCTAGGTATGGTGATGTCACCGCCTGAGCCATCGTCTGCCATGATGGGTTCCACCTGTTCGCAGGGGGTGTCGCTGGACTTGCTGCAGATGCCGTTGGCCTCGTCCTTGCACAGGCACGTGTTGTCCGCGATGATCACCCCGATCGCCCCCATGTGCTGCGCCTTCCGCACCTGGAAAACGACGGCGTGGACGGCGCAGGCAGAAAGGCCGACAGACAGGCAGGCAGGCACGGAGGGAAGGGAGCCATACAAGGCAACACCGGGGGGGGGAAGGGAGGGGGGGGGGGGGTACTCATAGTCGGGCATGCCGTAGTCGTTAGACCATTGACCTCGCATCCCTACAAAGCCGGAACGGAGCACGCCGGGTTCTCACCGGACCAGACTCTCATATCACCAAGCGCGAAGCGCCATGAGATATTCGGCGAGCCGCATGAAGGGTGCGCTGCATCCTGCTAAGGGTGTTCGGCATCCTGTGCTTACTTCCTTGCGTACGGATGACAGCTGCGTATGACTTGAGTACTTGTCTGGTGCTTTCACTTCCAGAGACAGTTAAAGGCACTGTGTAACTGCGTCGAGGGTGCTTGACCATTTGACAGAACGTGGTGCGGTCTTCCCCCTTGCACGGAGTGAGGCTTCTCCACCCCGCACAACATGATCCACTCGACCACCGTTATGGTCACCGCCAAAGCAGAACAGAGGAACAAAACAACAACGGTGACCTGGTTGCCGAGCTCACGAAGTGAATTGGCTTGTGATACGACGTCGTTGCCAAGGGACGAAAACCCAACCCCGATGGCAAACGCCGGGGGGCGGGGGGCGTGTACTCATGGTCGTGCATGCCGTGGTCGTTAGACATTTGACCTCGCATCCCTACAAAGCCGGGACGGAGCACGCCGGGGTCTCACCGGACCAGGCTCTCACATCACCAAGCGCAAAGCGCCGTGAGGTGTTCGGCGAGTCGCATGAAGGGTGCGCTGCATCCTGCTAAGGGTGTTCGGCATCTTGTGCTTACTTCCTTGCGTACGGATGACAGCTGCGTATGACTTAATTACTTGTCTGGTGCTTTCACTTCCAGAGACAGTTAAAGGCACTGTGTAACTGCGTCGAGGGTGCTTGACCATTTGACAGAACGTGGTGCGGTCTTCCCCCTTGCACGGAGTGAGGCTTCTCCACCCCGCACAACATGATCCACTCGACCACCGTTATGGTCACCGCCAAAGCAGAACAGAGGAACAAAACAACAACGGTGACCTGGTTGCCGAGCTCACGAAGTGAATTGGCTTGTGATACGACGTCGTTGCCAAGCGACGAAAACCCAACCCCGATGGCAAACACCGGGGGGGGTGGGGGGTGGGGGGTGGGGGACGATGTAAATCACAACAAGACGAGAGTAACGAAAAAACACGCAGGTCCCAACCTGGACTCTGAAATAAGACAAAACAACAACAACACTACCCTTGGGCAAAGGAGCATTGAGGGCATTGGCATTTCCCAAACTCTACGGTACCCCAAAGAAGCAGTAGTATAGTCAGAGCTCACAGCACGAAAAAAAACAAAAAAACAACACATGAACCGAGCACATGAAACAAGTGGTAGGTGAAAGAAAACAGCACTTCTCCAAAAGGCACGGAAATCTACAGGTTGTAGCGTAGCATAGACAGACCGGAAGAGGCTCTACTCATGTACAGTACGGCAAGCGGAGGCCCTACAACCGACGGCAGCAAGGGATTGGGACATCTTTTCCAACAGCAGCAAGAAGCAAGCGCGATGATACAACGCAAACACACACATAACACATACACAACGTACTTTCATTGGTCAGCCGGTTGCGCGCGGTCCATCTGAACACACACACATACTGGCGTGACGTATTTTCACTGGTCAGCCGGTTCGCGTGGTCGATGCAAAAAAAAAAAATCACACACAAACACACGCACACAGGCACAAACACCGACCTTGCTGGCGAAGGTGCAGTCCCCTCGGTCCACCATCAGGATGAAAGGAGAATCCGTCGGCACCATGGGGGTAACGTCCTTCACGTCATCGTCGCTGCACAGAGTCCACGTCTTTACCGCCTTACCCGGCTCCACGCCGCCGTGCACGATCCTCTGGCAGACAAAGGGCCGGCGGGCGGGGGGAAAGGGGGAGATGCGACGGGGGGAGGGGGGTGACGCGTCCAGTCAAAGAGAAAACATGGACAGCTGTTCAGCCGGGGTGTTGGCTGATTGTACTCTCGTGTCTATTGGAACAAGACGGGCTCGTTCATGTTTGGAGACACAACGAGCGATGCCAGCAGCGCCAGAGGTAATTCACCGGCCGCACACGAAGGTTGCAAGTCATGCAGGGGGGCGGGGGGCGGGCAGTGTCACACGCGGCGGAAGAGGGTGGACCATCCGCCGTTGTGCCGAGGAACAACGATCTGTCCACCCTTGGGTGTGCCCGCACGGTAGGCACGCAAGAGATGAGGACACCCCGCCCTCGTCAACGACA